CACTTAGCCACTCCTGTCAGTTTTTCTCTTGTGAAAGAATAAGTCTCCTGAAGATATTATAGTAAGGCATGACACTTTAAGTGTTGGATGGTAGCTAACTCCGTTTGTGTGCATGGAGTGAGCAGGTTCATATGGACTGGAAGAAGTGCCCCCTGTGATGCACTGAATGTTGTGGCTGAAGAGATATAGCTAGCTGCCTACACCTTCTGGCTAAAACTCTGAGACATGGCATTAGATCATGGCCATTTAGCTCATTGCAATCACAAACCCCGGCATTTCTGCAACATAAGAACTGTGTTCCTATCTCCTAGTCTCCAGATGGAGTCAACCCTGCAACAGTGTGATGCAGAGGATATCTAATCTGCTCAAAATATGAACCATCAGCATATTATGTAACAGTCCCTATCTGGTTTCCCTTCCCGTCCCTTATAAATGTAGGTTTAAATGGTGTGGATACATAATTGGTTTTCATCATGATGTTTCAGCCAAACATGTCAGAGATTGTTGCAGAGCACAGGATCTCAGCACGTCCTGCCATTCATTCAGGTTTCACCATTATGTCACTGGGTGAAGACTTACATCATGAAGCTCTTGGTTTTTCCCTATTGATTGTCTAAGCTCTATGGTGCCAGTCCCAGTCCAAAGTCGAATAATGTTCCAGTGTGCCTGCACCCCCCCCCCAGTTTGGCTGTTTAAATATGTCCATAAGTGCCCATAGGCATAGCTTTCTCCCTGACTGGATTCCTCTGTATATTATCGTGCCCTCTGATCACCTGCCAGATACATTAGAAAAAGAACCCACACTACACACTTTTGGGGGGAGCTACGATCTTCTGTGTGTATTTTACACCGTGTCAATGTGTCACAGTTATGCTGCAGTCATGTGTGCACCCTGTAGATAATCAATATAACCTCGTACAAGATCGTTGAAAAGAGCTAGTACTATATTGATTGTATGTTCACCGCCAACTATAAAGTGGGCAGTTGGACTAAGCTTGTGCTGCTGTTGTATGTTTTAGTGAGTAAACATAGCCCATTTTAGACTTTGCTTGTTTGCGCATGTCTTGCCTGCTGCATTGGCATAGTTATTGGTCATATTTTCACAGACTTGAATTGACAATGAAGCTTTTGATGTTACTGAGTGTAATATGGACTGTGGTCTACCCTCAGACCTTTCCCTATGTCTCCTACATGGGTGAGACCCTAGCCAACCATGGCTATGTGAACCTCAGCCTACTGGAAGACGATGGGATTTACAATTTTCGTTGTCACACTGACCTAGCTACGTGTTGTAGTAATGTTCAGGGTCCCCATCGTGGAGACTGGTATTTCCCTGATGGAAATAGATTGCCTATCTCTGGTGTTATTTCTGAAGCTCGTGGAGATCGAGCAGTGGACTTAGTCCCTGGAAGTGGTTCCTTACAATCAGGGGTGTATTGCTGTTATATTCCAACTGGTGCTGTACATGATGACATGGATGACTTAGTAAGGACTGTTGTGTACGTAGGATTATACAGTGAAGGTAGGTTTAGGTTTTGGCATAAATTATAACAAACCAGTTGATTTTTATCAGGAGGAAACATTGCTATCGTTGGTAACATGACAGTCCACAAGGATTCCGACATTGTTGTAAGCATTCCTCAGTTTACCCTCACTTGCATCTCCACTGGTGGACCTGCTACCACTGTCACTTGGACCAGAGACTCTTCCACTGTCACTGAAGGAGTTGAGAGTGTGTTGAATGACCCAGGGACTGCAAAGTACACACACACTCTCACAGTGAAAGCGAGATTGGGTGGACTTTATAAGTGCACTGTAGCGAACAATAAACCATCAGTAGCAGCTACTGAGAAACAAGTTCAAGGTAGCTACCTAACAAGAGAGTATACATTAGTGATTGAGTGAACTCAAGTGTAGTTATGTGTAGCTAATTTTCAGTGCCTGCAGGTACAGTTTTTGCGGATCTAGTTTTATACTTAGTTACCATCCTAATCCAACCTAACTCTTTGACTATACAGTTGTTAGCAATATCTCCCTCATCTCATCCCCGGAATCATCGATCCTGGTTGGAAACACAGTCACCCTCACATGCTCTGTCATTCTTGCTCCTGGATCATATGATGACCCAGAATTTTCATGGCAAGGACCTGGACTTGGTGTAGCATCCCCTAGTGGAGGGGCATTCTCTAGTGTACTCACACTGAGTCATATCACCACTTCTGAAGCTGGAGAGTATACCTGTACTGCATCTCTCGATCTAAGCATCTCTGTTTCAACATGTGTCACCGTGCAAAGTAAATCAAATTGTGTGTTGTGGTAACTGTGTGCTTCCAAAGTTTTATTATTCTCTCAGTTCCAGCTCCAGTTCCACACATCACTCCCAATGTTAGTGGAGTACTGTATGCTGGAATAGCCCTCACCCTGACATGCAGTTACTCTGGTCTGTCTGGCATTGCTGACACTGATATTCAGATTAATGTCACATGGCGTATGAATGGATCGGATGTGACTATGTACCCTTCATACAACACTGACAAATTCATTCTCACACTTTCTCCATTGAAAACCTCACACAGTGGAAGATATGCTTGTTTGCTAATGATTACCACCCTACGGAACCATGTTCATGTACAAGAGCCAGTATACATTGCTGAGCAAGAAATACTTGTTAAAAGTAAATTTTCAATCCTATCTTAATATCCCTGCACTATTTTGTTTCCTTTCCTCTAGTTCCTAAACCAAGTATTACTTTCACCATGACTCATGGTCCTCCTATCTATGCTGGTACTAGTGTCACATTCACATGCATGGTAACACTGGATTCTACTGTTGACAACAATGAAAGTATCAGCATTGAGTTCAGTGGTTTTAATAACCTCCCTGAAAACCGGCTTTATTTCAATCCTGTGACCTCTTTACCCATGAGTAAATTTGTGCGCAATGTTACAATTAATTCAGTAGCCGACAAAGACTCTGGTGTTTACACATGTATTGGGACTGTAAATGGGGATTCCACAGCGAGTTCCAGTAAAAATGTTTCTCTCTTAGTGACAAGTAAGTGAAATTAATTAATTACTTGGATCTATTTTCTCTTCACATTAGGTCTTCCTGCTCCGAATATATCTTTATCTTCATCCAATCATTCTGTAGTTATAGGAGAGCCTTACTCTCTTATTTGCTCTGTGAGTGTGGTGCCAGGTTTTATTGGAGAAACTAGCATTGAGTGGACAAGGCAAGATGGTAAAGTGGTGAATGCTACCATCGGTAACGAACTTCGCCTGTTCTTCAATCCTCTGAATGTATCAAACAGCAGTGTTTATTCCTGTAAAGGAAGTCTTGCCTTTAATGGTGTTGTAGCTGTGGCTGCAGAGGTTTCCAATGAAATCTTGCTGGCAGGTAAATGTATATACACATGCAGTAAACATTACTGGGAGTGAACCTGAGTCTCATGAGAATAGTCTGTAGTTAAAACCACTTTCAATGTGTGCATTTTTAAATGATAATGTTTTTCAACTTGAATGTAGCTGTGGACCCTTTAACAATGCTGTTTGTGCAAACAGACTCCAACAGTAGATATTCTCTGTTTTATAGCCCCATCTGGAGCTCCACAGGTCTTCAAGGCTGCAGCTGGACAGAGAGAAGTTGTGTTTTCGTGGTCTTCTCCACCACTGGCCGAACTGAATGGAGTGATCACAAATTACACTCTGTTCTGTAAACCTGTCCCCACCACTTCACCCTTGCCTGCTTCTCTTTCAAATCCACTCAGGGTGGCAGGGTTCACCCCAAACACAACCTACCTCTGTTCTGTGACGGCTAACAATGGGTTGGGATCTGGACCACCTTCTAACACCACCTTCACAACTCAGCAAGACTGTATGTTTTTCCAATCATGTCCTGATGTTAACATTAAATAGTAATGTTTTTTTTCAGATTTGTACTTCCAAGTGCGTCTGAATGGGAAAGTTTTATGCTCACAGTTTATAGTAAGTTTGCTGTCATTTATACATTGCCTCTGCCTTTCTACCTCGTAGTTTACACGATCCACCTTTCCCTGAATCTCAGGTTACTTCGACAAGTGATAAGTTGAAAGACATTTCAATGCAGTTGGTACGATATTTGATGGAATCATGTGTAGAGTGTGATAAGGAAATCATCCATCAACCTTTTTTTGTCTGTTACTCCGAATCTCCTACATATGTAACATATCGTGCTACACTGAAGGGGACTGCTAAAATGGACAGTGAGTCTTTGCTATCCCTGCTGAGGGTGTGGGTGAGTAAGCGAGAATCAATTATTGTGTCTGGAATACTAATGGCAGTAGACCCTGAATGTTTGGTGGCTATTCATTCTCTTAGTGAGGAAGAGTGCTTCATGCTCAGTCCAACACCTCAGGTGACAAGCACCACCACTGCACACACAACCACAGGGGTTTCCAACATTCCTATTATTGTTACTGGGGTTTTGCTACCAGTGATAGTCATCATACTTCTTACCGTTGCCACTTCTATACCTGTCATAGTCTGCCTAAACAGAAATCGTCAGGACATTTCGTAAGCGCACACAGCTTGTAGTTTCGCCATTGTAATGTGTATTCACTTTCTTCAGGCACACAGTAACATCTCCAGTGGAGAAGGAAAGGAGTGGATCTGTCTCAACAAATGATAATACGGCCTACAATTCAATGATTTCAATGTGTGAGGGAGATGGTCACGAGTATGAAGTTGTTGGCAAGGCTCTCTCTTGTCCAACATCTGTCAATGAGAATGCTCTCCAACTCTATGATATTCCAGCACCTACTATTCGTTCTGACCAATAGAACAGTTGATGTGAACGGTTCGAATTTTTTATTATAGAGAGACAGGATTGCAAGTAGTTTGATGCCGACACAAATTTCCCATTATACGCATGCGCGTTAATGTGACCCAAAGAAGGCGTGGCACTCGGTGTGGCATGGGGGGGCACGGGTGTTTCACGCGAGCAAATGGTAATTGCGCGTAACAGCGCTCTTACGCGAACGTATTTAAATTTTACGCCTACGCGTGGTTAGCAACGCCGGGTGCAGTTTCCATAGAGTTTATTTACATACCGTATGGAATTGTGTTAGGAATCTGCAGCGGAAAAGCTACACAAGAGGCGGAAGTATCACATCCGCTAACGCGCACATGAAATACAAAGCTAACTAGAATTTTCCTTGGCAACGCGGAACGGCTGCGCATGCGACATCTTGTAGTTCTTTGCAACACCTGCCAAAGGCCATCACGTTTTTTTCCAAGATTACAACCAGGTTAGTTCAGTAGTGCTACAAATGAGCTGCAAAATGAACAGTAGTTAGTTACAAGAACTATTTTTTCCTGCCGCCAACAGCCATTTCCCTGAGAGGTGTATATACATACATAGCTAGCATTCATGGCCAGCAACGACACAGCTGCTCTTAAGCTACATCTCCAGAAGTTAGCAAAGTACTGCAGAGTGTGTTCCAAGGTCCTGCAACTGAAAGAAACAGCTCATTCCTGCAATGCTAATGCTGAACTACTACTCAAGATCTTCAACATTGACACCAAAACAGACAGCACAAATGTACATCCGAGAACATACTGTCACAAATGCCACACAACTGCAAAGAAGATGGCTAGTGGGGAGGACGGAACAGGTTATTGAGACTGCAATTGTTCCATTCGAGTGGTCACTTCATATAGACGATTGCTGCTGGGTGTGCAAGGGAAAATCTGGAAGACAAAAAAAGGGAACTAAGAAACGAGGTAGACCAAAAGGGGAGAGTGGCAAGGGAATTGCCAATAGAGTCCTTAGAACTGCACCACCAAGTTGGCGAGCAGCACAGCCTCTGTCTCTCTCTCGTTTTCTTCCACCAGCTACCTCTCTCTCCTTGCACGATCTCCAGTGCAAACTCTGCGGAGCACTGGCGCCAGATATCTCCAGCGAACATCGTACTGCAACCACCTACTCAGAAGCGACTCAAGACGGATTAGCGCCACATTTCCATGGATTTATACTCACCAAATAGTATCTTAACAGCCGGGGAGATCAATCTGACTATTTATTCCTCGATCTCTGGCCAAAACCACTTCTGGTATACGTCAAGAGGGCTAAGACCGTGTATAAATGGTAGTTATTCAACGGTCCATAAGGCCGCGTAAAAAATAGTTATAGGGACCTCACCTCCACTTTCCTGTCCTTCATTGATGTCTTTTTCTCTTGGGTAGGATTTTATGCGGATAAAAATTCTACAAACGCTCTCTAACGCTCGACAAAGAAGAACCACGTGGGTGAATCTCGGATTCATCATACTCGGAGTATACGAGAACCGTACCGGCCGTATTTGGTACCGCTGTGGAGCGCAGACACTCCCGATCCCCGCTTCGATAGTGCAGCGCGTTGCGCCTTCAAACGCACGCACAACGCCTCAGCGCTGGGTAAAACGTGTGGCATTACGTTGTCAAGGGATTGTCGCTATGGGAAAATTGCGGCGCGCGCTAGCGTTCGTGACGTCAGCAACTGCAACGCAAATGAGATCTCGGTTTGGGGGCGTTTTGGAATGGCGTCTATTTCAAGTTACCTGGAGTCTCTTCGGGACTACCTCCCGCAGGAAGTAAGATCTCTTTCTACAGAGAAGCAGATCGAGTGGCTCAGTGAACTTCTCAGTCACCGTCACAGGCACCAGAGGTGACGCTCTCGTTCAGCTGTCAATGATCCATCTTTAGTACACTATTGTCACTTGTACATGTAGAGAAGAGGAGCAACAGCAAAAGGCCTATGAAGAGGCCCGTAGAATAATAGCAGAGGAATACCGTCCATTACACCACCACCTGTACCGCTTGGATGGATGGAAAGTAACAGATGGATTCAGCGAGGCAGTCAGAAACAAAGATATTATAAAAATGAGAGCCATACTCAATGAAGAACGTTCAGGTACGATTAGCTACTGTGTATACATGTGTGATAGTATAATGTTCCCCTGGGACAGGGGTGTATACATGTGACATTCTATCTAAAGAAACATGCCGAGAACTTGTCGAAGAGGTTCATCATTTTGAGAAGTGGTGTAAGGACCACCAGCTGAGAGTCAATCGTCCAAACTCCATGAACAAGTATGGAGCCATCCTTGATGATTTTGGACTTCAACCTGTGCTAGATGAGTAAGCAGAGAAGGAAGCATGAATACCCTGCTATATTATCTACCTCCAGGAAGAATTCCTTTAGTCTGCTTTACCCATCCAATGTGTAAATGTGATGGTTAAGTCCCTCATTGTGTAACAGATTGCCGCACTCATTGCATGTCTCTGAACGTTGTTTACAGGTTCATGAAAGCGTATATCCAGCCATTTTCTACATTCCTGTACCCTGTTCTGGGGCAGGACCTGGACAGCCACCACGGCTTTGTGGTGGAGTATGAACTTGGTAAAGACACGAATCTTGGATTTCATGTGGATGATAGTGAGGTATAATATACATTTTGTCATTTCTATGACCACGCTAAGCTTTAGCACCATGTGCATAATTTTTTGCCCATCGATTTGCACATTTTAGGTGACTCTGAATGTGTGTCTGGGAGATGTGTTTACTGGGGGACATCTCTTCTTTAAAGGTGTCAGGTATGTCACTCTATTTCTAAGCTAAGTTTCTTGTTGAGATATGTGGTTCATAGTGTGTAACTAGCCTTTTTTCCGACGCTCTTTTGCCTCCACCTGAGCTACTTGCGAGCAGCTGAAAACAGTGATTGAAGCAGATACAGTATTTGTGTTTGTGTCACATTTCTTACCCCATCCATCAGTTTCCCAGATTCATAATTATCTGATCTGCAAACCACAACCCGACATTGTGTTCTTTACTTGCGTCTGATTCCGGTTTAGGACCAAGTTCTTTTTTCCATTTTCGTTTCAGATGTGACAAGCATGTTCACACAGCTCCCGCAGCTGGTGAGTGTTTTGATCTGGAACACAAAGTAGGAATGGTATGAAATTTCACCACACAAAATTCTGTGAACTCTGTTATTAGAGGTTTTCCTTTCTCCTCCCAGGGTGTATTCCATGTTGGGCGACATCGTCATGGGGCCAATGACCTGACCTCAGGTCATCGTATTAATTTGATCATGTGGTGTCGATCCTCTCACCAGAGACAGGCCAGGAGTTGTGGGAATTGTTCTTGCCACTCTCCATGTCCAGAATGGTGTGGTCTCTATTCCGGCCCTCAACACTCTCAATAATGATTTTTTAAAATCACAGTTTGTATTTTAATAACACGCAAGGTTTTTTAAAATCAATGTGCATTTTCCTTTTCATGATACAATGTCATAGCTACCTCAACCAGTTGATTCAATCGGACTCCGAATCTACACATCTGCCTTGGACGTGCAGATCAACGCCTGCGCAAAACGGCTGCGCCGTGCAGTTGAGCATGCGTTAGCTATAATAATAGTCGGCGCGTTCGCAAGCCGTCTTCGCCGTGGAGTAATGCCCAAAAACAGCAGCATGCAGTACAACTAGCTACCATAAGCACACCGCACGCATTTTTTTAGTCTTAGGTGGTCGTGATTGAGTTGTGTGGGATACACTACTGCTATTCAGTTGAGGAATTCGAAGCATACTCCAGGTTCACAATCTTTCTCGGTAATTGTTCGTAGACTATGGATCCCAAGAGCAAATGTGTGCATCCTGTTATGGCCGTTATGGTTACTGCACTGATTTCACTAGCCGCTACTGCTGTTGCAGACTCTTGCAGTTATGCACCGTGGAATGAAACTGTTTGCTGTACTGACGGTAAGTGAACTAACGTCCGACACGCCCGATTGAGCATAGGCCGTGCTCTGAGATGAGCTAAGATAATTGTACTGAGTTGCAAGTTGGCAGGGGGGATTCGAGTAGATAGCTAGGCTAGCTAGCTCATATAATATCGAGGAAGTTATTACACAACTATTATACCCACCAAGGAGGTTTTAATTTGTTGTTTCAAAAGCAATAGGGTTTCAAGGCAGAGGTTACCGGCTTTTGTGGTGCTGCCAGCAGTGCCGTTTGAAATTAGCTAACTGCTGTGTACCATAATTCATTGTAGCTACCATGCTTTTCAAAGTTACTTACACTTCGTGCTTGAACAGGGGCTGAGCTATATATGTGTGTGTAAGAATAGTTCTCCACAAAAACGTGCAGGAGAAACAAAGCCAGGTGCTGAAAACAAGCTCTCTATTGATTGTGAGTTTGGACAACTACTTTCTAATGGTACAACTACCATTCTTGTGTGGGAGGGGTCTGAGTCAATTATTGCGGGCCACTCACCAGAGAGGTTATATCTCTACTCCTCCTGTGTTGATCCAACCACTACCTATCTGCACGTACGTACCTATATACTTTATCATGTATACGATTTTCATGGTATATTTTTGTACAGAACACATCAATAACAACACTCTTTCATGACTCGAATCTACGCACATTGTCAACTGAAATTATTAAGCCATCAATATCCAAGTGTCGTTATTTTGGTTGCTATGGGGCTGCTCGTGGATTCTATTACTACACTTTCTCAGAAGTGTCCTGCACTTCTGTTGGTAAGGAAATGGTAACTAATCTCTGTCTTCAATGTTGTGGACTCTAGCTCACATCTGTCATGGTGGTAATGCACCCTCTTCCAGAGTTTCCTTCTATGATATCAACAGTGGTCTCCCCTTCACCTTCACCCCCTCGCATTCCACACTAACCATTAGCAGCTACTTACTACACTTACTATCAGCAGGTTTTGTTGCAAGCAAGCCTGAAAGTGCAATTGCAGTATCCACACTTCAGCAAGACAGCCGGTTTACATCTGTCCAAAGCAAAAATTCACAGGCAATTAGTGGGAGCTACACAATTCTAATGAGTCCTTCATACACCTCTACTTCAGACGTCACAGGTATGCATAGCTAATGTGCAAAGATGTGGTTTAAAATGTATTATTATTTTGTGGTAGTACAACAGGGCCTAGAGAAGTACTGGTTGTATATGTTGCTGCTAATGATTGCTCTACTTGTTGGTTGTGGTGGTCTGCTAGGAGTTGTGATTATCAGGCACTGTAGGAGAAGGTGCTAGCTTTAATTTGACTCACCGCACGTAAATGTGTAAAATTTTAATGCAGAAGTGATATCAGGAGCAATCGTTGGTCAAGTCATATGTGGAATTTAAGTGTGAGTTGTTCATTAACCTTCGCCTGCGCGCATGCGCAGCGAGGGTTATTGCTGTCTGTGTGTGTGTGTGTGTGTGTGTGTGTGCGTGTGTCCGTCCGTCCGTCTGTCCACCGTTTTTCTCGGTAACCGCGGCAACTCTGAGCGTGAAGCGTAGCTAGACATATTTTCAACTAGGAGGAATGCATGGTAAAATAAGATTCAGGAGCGGAGAAGGCCGGGGAAGCGACGGCTGCCGAGGTGAGTGTGTGCGTCAAGTAGAGATCGCGAACCTCGTAGATGCTAGATGCTTAGCGCGTGTAGAGAAGATTTGCTGGTCTGCCTGTATTGATGGTACAGTCGAGTAGGATCGAGATTGCCGGTGAAGTGAGAGCAGCACACGCCCCAGTGAATCCGTTCAGTGAAGGAGTCACTGTGTAGTGGTGAGGGTTGTCAACTTTGCTGTAGTAGTAACTAGTATTGAACGTGCATGCCAAAAACTGACGTAGTGTAGCTAGTAGCCATTGGCTGCTGAAATAAAGTGGCGAGGGCTATGCACTTTCAAGTGCTTTTTCATTATTGCTTGTGTTGTTTCCTTCAGGGAGTGTCAACACTTACTGCACTTACTGAAAAAGCCTTTCGGACTTTTGAAACTGCATCAATAAACTCAGAGCACACTACCTATGAAGAGATAGTGTATGCATTATAAGAGGGAAGTGTGTTTGTTATTATTATACTTCTTTGCTGGAATATTAACTATTATGACAGTCAGTTCAGCTACTGCTGGACAGGCATGAAATCCTGTGGTGTTTTGTTGCAATAACTGAAACAGAAGATATATATAATTATCATCATTGTTACTCATGGGCAAGTAGAACGTGTAGTTACTCTTAAGCTGGAGAGGACTGCTATCTCATATTTCATTTCCTCTTACTATCATTACTCTTTCTAAGAACCTTTGTGAACTCATTCTCGTTTTCCTATAAAATGAGCATATCTTTTCCAGAGCTTACCAAATCCTCTCTAGAGCTTAAAGTGTTCGACAGTAGAAGGAATCACTGTGGGAATGAGAGTGGGAAGCAAACTTATTCTTAGCACTGTTGGTTGCTGCATCAGTGGCATCAGGTGGTGGTCATGTAGAGGAACCTGATATGCAGTTGGACTTGGCTCTCTCAGTTAAGACTATGGACAAAATTACACGCCTTCAAACACCTGTAAGTTTGTATATAAAAGCACTTTTAATTTCCATTATACATGTTGTCTAGGTTCAGTTTTTCCATTTGGAAGATGCATGTCCATTGTGGAATGGCGTTACTAGTGAATATAGTGCTGCTAACACCACCAATGCTCCTGGAGAGTTCAATGTCAGACTCGCCACCTGTCAAAAGGTATGATAGACAGGTGATGTGGGCCTCTCTACCAATACCATTGTCTTCTGTTCCTTAGATAAGCCAGGTTTCAGATTTGGAGATCATGACAGAGAGTGGAGTGTGCTCTGAGAGTGCCTTGGAGTACCTGTGCATTCGTATGAGCCTTGGAGAGTCTTATTTCTTGTTTGGGGATATTAATGCTCCGTCATCTGTTGGTGAAGATCTGGAGTGGGTGTATAGAAACTTTAATGCTACAATGGTTCAGACAATCCTCCAGTATTACTAGAAAGAATCCTTAACTCACTGATGTACTATTCACTACAGTATCTTACATTTTCTATTTTGTAGTCTGTATGACAGTATAATCCTGCTTTGAAGACAATAATATATACTGGTCTAGCATTCTGTGGACCAATACTTAATCTACATGTGACATTGCTTTTGGACTTGACAATAATAATAATAAACGGAGCAGGTACCTAAAGACAAGGTGAATCACGGCAGATAATAGGGGATGATATGGGAGAGAGTAGCTGCAGAACTTTGGGCAATGAGGTGCCAATACCAGTAAGAGAAGCCCTTTCCCCCCTAACCGACATTATCCAGCAATCCTAGAAGCACGAGTTGTCTCTGAGTTAGTCAAGACTTCCATAATGGAGAAAATGAGATTCCTCTCTGTAAATGTATTGGGGTCAAATACAGAGTTGGAAAAAGAGAGAGGGAGACAATTAATGTCAGATAATGGCAGAGAATCCTCACTAACGTTGTGCAATAATCATCAGGCTAGGTCATTTATTCTATGCCAGGTAAACAGTCTTACTATAAAGCTCATCGCCCTTAAATTATTCACAGTCACGATGAGCCATAGAGAGCTTTTCTGCTTAATCTTACAGGATGGGTGCCCTCACAAGAATACGAGTGAGTCGTGACACAGACATGTACGTGAGTATCCTAAATCTGGGGAGTAGCTAACACGGATGCGCACAAAAATTGAGTTCCAGGCTCCTGCCCTCGGAGAGCCTGGGTATGTGTGCTCTTCCTATGTTATTGCACTAAAAGAAAGAGAGTGAGGATCGTGAGTAGCTGGAGCAGATGCGTGTTTTTAATTAAGATAACCATGCAAAAAAGCAAGATCATACAAAACGACATAGTGTTAGCATAATGTATGGAGTAGATACGTTATCAATTTAATGTTACTGCCACACAGTCATTTTCCAAAATGTCTACGCTTTTTCAGAAAGGAAATCCGACATAATCTGGTTGCATTGGTCAGGGTCATCCTGCTGTACCCAGTGACTGCAGTTCGGTAAGTGTCTGTGAAACAGAGAGAGTATACTTCTTCTTCCTATAATACATCCAAGCTGCTATTGTTAACCGTCTTATGGCTAACATAATTAAAGAGCAGAGCAGTCAGTAGGTATACTAATCACCAAGCACCTAACATTGGCACATATCTGGTAGAACACACAGGTTGGTACATAGTGAACATATGGTGCGTATATTATAGCTTACTTGACAGTGAGATCACTGCACACCATGTCATGCTGATCAGCCATCTCACATGAGAGAAATTTATCGCAATCGCCCTATATAGAGGAGAGCAAAACACATGCTTACAACTTGTTGCAGATGGTCCCTACAGCTACAGCCAACCCAAATGATCATTGTGGGCATGTTAATCTTCCGGTTCAAATAGGGCTTCATATCGTCACGGGCCTCATGGAGGCAGCGATAGTAGTTAATAGGGGCAGTCAGAGCTCCAGGCTGGGAGAAGGTGTACTTGTAGGCTTCCACAACCTCTGGAGGAAATGATGCTCTGTTCCTCACTCCCTGCAACAGTCAGGATGTCAGCAGTACAGATGACAGCAACACCAGTGATAAGGCAGAACCAGTACATTTCTTTGGGTAAAAAAAAAGAAGCTCGACCCCATTTAAAATGGGATACCTGTTGTGCTCCAGTGAAGGTATTCCGGATGGCAGAGTAATCACTCATTGAGAGCAGAAACTCTGGCACCTTTGGCACTTGAAACAGGAACATGTACTGGAGGGCAAAGGCCACTCATAGTCACATAGTCATACATAAACACAACTTTACCCACGACTTGCAGAGCTGCCCACAATTTCTCTGTAAGTTCTGTTGAAAGACCCTAGAAAAGTGTGGTTTTTTTAGTAAGCTAATAAACAATAAACCTTGTGAACTGACTTAAAATGAGGACAATTCATGATAATAAGCCTATCCACCAGCTCGGGATACTTCATAGCAACAAACCTGGAGAACACATTACCAAACAAGAAAATGTGTACAAAAGAAAGTATCGATATGGACAGCGAACCACGCAACTCCTCCACCCCAGTCATGAGCGCACAAGACACAGGAGGAGTGGCCAAGGGCAGGGATCAGCTCAGCAATGTCTTGTACCAGCAGCTCAATGCGGTAGTCTAACTTGTTTGGTGGCTTGTCCGTTTCTCCATATCCCCTGCCATAAAACATTTAGAGTTACAGGATGTGGCAGATCTGATTTTTCTCTCTCTCTACCTTTCTGCCTATCTTTGCTTACACACTAGTCACCATTGTCACCGTCTAACAGGCATGAGATCGGGAGCAAGATGCATGACTATATTATTTTTTTGAGGTAGCCCAGTAAAGACGCCAGCATTTACGCTTTTACATTAACCTTGTCATAAAATATTTGGAGTTATGTTGTGATGAAAACTGACCTCATGTCAATGGCAACAACATGATAGTCCTTAGAAAAAGCCTTCAACTGGTAACGCCAGGAGAACCAAAACTAAAGATGACAAGAACAAATACACATGATGTATGAATAAAAAATTCAGTATTTTAATAATACTGTATGACTTTTTTTAATTTTAAAAGCTAACATCATTAGAATCCTCGCAGTTTTCCTGATCCCATAATGTGAGGCTACATCAGTAAAAGTCAGCTGTATGTCCCAAAGAACAGCATGTCATAATATGTTGTGTGCACAGCTCAGGTGATGGGTATACTGATGTTCCCACAAGAAAATGCGGTCTTGCGCATATCAGAAAAAATGTGACTGCAATGCCCCGACATTCACAACATGGATATTCATTTGAGGTCTAGTTGCATAATTGGGCTACATGCAATGTTTGGTGTTGCACAACTCAGCCTGGCCAACAAATTAAGGTGTTCAAATACTGTATGGTGAGAAATGTGCTGAAGAGTAGGGCATTTTTTTACTTAAGGTCTTGTAATGCTTGACCAACTAGGTGTTCATCGCTCGTGCTATATAGCTGTTAAAAGTGTACTGATCAATGAATATTTGATCTTCCCACTACAAAATAACCCACTATTAATATACTGGACATCCATGTGTACTTACTAATTGCATTTTGCCTTCTTTCTACACTCAGCAGGACTCTCCTTGCATACCATCCTCACCTTGTATGTACTACTACAGAATATCACTCCTAGAGTATGTTTTGCCATGGATGCTTGATCTGTCCTGTTCGCCAACCACCAGGTACAGTACAGTCGGTCCGGATCATTTACTTGGCTGTAGTGTCACACAAATCCCCAGCCTTGCACATATAGCCTTAATTCGCTACTTCTTATAGCCATTGTTGTAGCTAACTGGCTATAGCTCTAGGACACTAAAACTGTGCACCACACCTTATAGAAATGGTCTACTCTGGCTCCATCACTGCACATGACTTATGTACACCACATAAAACCAGAACCATCTCACTCATTACTCTTCCCCCAGGCACATGGAATACGATCAACCAGTCAGTTGCACTATCCGGCTGGCTGGGCCGAGAATACAGCATCGCAGACGATTATAAGTTTGGTATCCTACTGCTTCTTTGACCCGGGTCTATTTGCATGGGGATTATTAGAGAGATGGACTCTTACCTCAGGAAAACCGTGGAGAAGTAGCATCAGTGGCTTAGAGTTGTCTCCTGCCGATACGTAATGAAACTTGATGCCGTTTGCTGTGACGTACTGGTGGGAACCAAGGCTAGTGTCTTGAAGGCATGATGGAGGTACTGCAGATGTTTGATCAACTAAATAACGCCAAGTCACTTAGCTAGAGAACACTCACTGTCTCTTTTCTTCTTCCTGAGGGCAGTAAGAGGGTGCGTGATGATAGTTCCCGCTATATAGAGGAGGGCAAAAGCTAAACCAACACTGACCATCAATAGTCGCACAGATCCAGCAACAAACGCCTTCCACATTGCCATCGCTGTTGTTTGCTCTTGTTTGCAAAGCTGGAGAAGTAGGGTTTCAAAAGGGGAGGGGTCGGGAAATAATTACGCATGCGCAGTTTCGGCAGTGTATATTATAGAGATCTACACGTACATGCACACGTCGTATGGCGTTCACTACTGTCACTGTTGTCTGGAAAGGAAGTTTTCCACTCATTTGGTTTTATCACCCTTAACCTGTAGGAGGTTGCCAATTGTCCTCAGCCAAGCCTCTTCTATTCCTCCTGTGGGCAGTAACACTGAAGTCCCGGATGCCTTATTATGCAAAAGTCTGCCTTGAGGGAGATCACTTGTGATGTCAAAGAAGGTTGTTTATTCCTGGTAGCTACATGATAACTAAACAGCTCACACTTTCACATGAAGAAAGTAGAAAACGAGAGAGAGAGAGAGAGGCTCTCTGAGGAAGCCAACTCATCTCGTCTTGACAACTTACAGAGTCTTGAGAGGCAAGGCCAGTTGAGTAGGTGTACAAGCCCCAGCTGTGCCCCGATCTGGTCGCGGGCTGTGCTAGCACTACCTGAGGACCAACTGAAGTTCGCCATCAATGCAGCGGTGGATGTACTCCCACATAATGCGAATCTCTACCTCTGGCGGAAGAGGAAGGATCCATCATGCCCTCTCTGCCACGAAAACCAGTCACTACTGCATGTTCTCAACAACTACAGTGTGGCTAGGGACTATAGGAGGTACAACGTACGGCACGATTCGATCCTCAGTGCCATAACTGAAACAGTCAGTCACAGTCAACTTCAATGACGGCCAACACCTACGAGTGTCCCTATCACCATCATCCCCACTGACCTACGGCCTGACTTGGTGTGGTGGGACAAGACACACAAGTCAATCACTCTGGTGGAGTTGACCGAGACCAACTTCGAAGAGGCAGCTCGTGCAAAGTACCTTCACCTTGTGGAGCAGGCCAAGGCTCGGGGGTACAGGTCAGAGCTGATCACCCTCCAGGTTGGATCTCGTGGGGTCCTCGACCTTCCTGGATTTGAGACCCTTGCAGCAAGTCTCTCTCTCCCTCATAAAGACCTAATGAGGCTTTTGGAGAGTGCAGTTTCACTAGCCCTGGCTGGGTCTTTCGGTATTTGGTGCACAAGGAACAAATTACAGTAATATCTCTGTGTATGTATGTATGTATGTCCCTAGTTTCTCATGTTACTGTGTCTGTGGTTCAAAGTGATTGTGCGGTGGTTCCCTAGGCAATTAGATCATTGGTCTACACCACTCCTCATCTTGTATGTACCATTTGTCAAAATGAAGATGTTTCACACGAGAGAGAGAGAGAGAGAGAGAGAGAGAGAGAGTCAGTTCTCCATCTCCATTGACTCCCCCTCGGAGGTCTACAGCTTCCCGCAGCACATCACCCCCACCAATCTTCGACCGGACATTGTGTGGTGGAGTGACCAGCGTAGAGAGCTATGGCTGTTAGAACTCACTGTGAGCTACGAGTCTGCAGTGGCTGATGCGAGAGTTAGGAAGGCAGCAAAGTACCATGACCTGGTGGAGGCTGGGAGAGCAGCAGGCTACAGGGCGAAGCTTTTGAATCTCGTGGTTGGATCACGAGGGATGCTGGGCGATGCAGACTGCGACCTCCTCAGAGAGGCTACTGATGCACCTAGGAAGGAGTGCACTTCCATGTGTCTCCACATCACAAGAACAGCCATTCTTGGCTCCTTCTCCATCTGGGGCTCAAGAAACCATGCTATCTGACTAACCTTCTCCATCTTTTATCTTCATACAGTATAATGTCAGGCCAGGTCAATGCGTGCCACAGTTGTCATGTGGCTAGAGCTCTGCCTGGGTTTCACCTCACACCTCGTTGTTTATGTGCAGTACAATGAAGAGTTTTTCACACACACGAGAGAGAGAGAGAGAGAGAAGAAGCGCAATGATGACTTGTGTCCCCTGTGTGGTGAGAGGCAGTCTCTGATTCATGTCCTCAACACATGCAAAGCGGCCCGTGATGGACGAAGATTCAATGCCCGCCCATGATGCCATTCTTGCAGAAATCGCTTCCCTCCTGTCAGCCCATATTTCCCCACCTGCCAAGCTGTGTGCTGACCTGGGATCCTACACATTTCCTCGTGGCCACTGATCTACGCCCTGACATCGTATGGTGGGATGACTCACTGCGGAGGATCGTGCTCATCGAGCTCACTATCTGCTTCGAGACCTCCTTCCACCATGCAGCAGAGCGTAAAGAGCTGAAGTATGAAGATATGATGGCAAGGGCCAGGTCAGCTGGGTACAGTGGTCGCCTGATTACCCTCCAAGTGGGATCGAGAGGGATTGTTGACCAGGCCGGCTTTGAACATCTCAAGCATGAACTCAACATCGGTAAGCGGGTCCTTACACAGTTTCTGACTCGCATCAGCTACCTAGTGATCCAGGAATCATTCAAGATCTGGTGTCGGAGAAACGCCAAACTAACTTAGTCGCCCGCTCTTACTCTTTTAGTAGCTCATTTAGCCTGAGGAGGGCAGTACCACTGTACAGTGTATTTGTAGTGCACTTTGGCAGGTTTCTCTACGTACTGTCTGTCATCCTCCCTTTTTGTGTATGGTGTATGCCACTCAAGAAGGTTTTATATATATATATGAGAGAGAGAGAGAGACGTCTGTCCTGGCCACTAATGGTCCAGGAGTTTCCCACCAACTGGATGGAGCGGCAGGTTGACTCTCTGGTCACAGGGTACCTGAAGAGGTGGTCTGGACTAGGGAAGTCAGCCAACACTGCTCTCCTCTATCTCCCCCATTCGCTGGGCGGCCTGAACCTTCCCTCTCCCTCCACCCTCCACAAAAGGCTTCAGGTCTCCCGGCAGTGTCAGCTCCTCACCTCTCAAGACTCCTGCGTGCGGTTCCTGGCTGATCGTGGCCTCAAGAAAGAGCTCTCTTTGGCCAGGAAAAAGTTTAGACCTGCTATGGAGGCAAGAGAGGCGCTGAAGATCAGCCCAGGGTGCAGCAGGAAGGCACTAACAAAGTCTGCCAAGGCTCTTGTCTCTGAGCAAGTCAACACATCTCGTCTTGACAACCTGCAGAGTCTTGTGAGGCAAGGCCAGTTGTACCAACCCCAGCTGTGCCCCCATCAACGCAGCAGTGGATGTCCTCCCTCATAATGCGAACTTGTACCTCTGGAAGAAGAGGAATGATCCATCGTGTCCTCTCTGCCACGAGAACCAGTCACTACTGCATGTTCTCAACAACTGCAGTGTGGCTAGGGACTACAGGAGGTACAACGTTCGGCATGATTCCATCCTGAGAGCCATCACTGAAACTGTCAGACATAATATCTCTTCGACAGCAACAGTGACAGCCGACATCAGCGACACCTACGACTTTCCCCATCATATTATCCCCACAGACCTACGGCCTGGCCTGACTTGGTGTGGTGGGACGAGGCACACAAGTCAATCACCCTGGTGGAGTTGACTGTGTGCTTCGAGACTAACTTCGAAGAGGCTGCTCAGAGGAAGACGGCAAAGTATCTGCACCTTGTGGAGGAGGCCAAGGCTAGGGGGTACAGGTCTGAGCTGATCCCCCTTCAGGTTGGCTCTCGTGGCGTCCCCGACCTCCCCGGTTTTGAGAACCTGGCTGCAAGTCTCTCTCTCTCTCATAAAGATCTTGTGAGGCTTTTGGAGAGTACGGCAAGTTTAGCCTTGGCTGGGTCTTTTGTCATCTGGTGCACAAGAAACAAATCGCCATAATATCTCTATGCATGTATTGATGTAATTCTTTTTTGTGGTTCCTTTGTGATTGTGTGGTGACAATGTGACCATTGGAGTTAACCACCCCTCATTTTTGTATCGTTGTGCAAGATGAAGATGTTTCACCACACACGAGAGAGAGAGAGAGAGAGAGGAGAGAGAGTGTCCACCGGTATATTTTGGTCTACTGCTTTGCTCATCTAAATAGCCTGCCGAGCCAAGCACGCATCTCTGCCAGCAATGACTACCACCCGAGGGAAGTGCTCGAAATGCGGACGGTGCTTCAAGCGCCTAGACACGCACCTACCTACGAGTCAGCGCTACCTGCCGCGATGTCGCCAGAACGTCAGGCCGCCCCGCCCTCCAACACTATCCCCTCCTCTTCCGTGGCGTCTAATTTGAATTTCGGCAGGACGCTATCCGGAAATTTTAATTCCGCAGGACATCAGCTGTTCTTACAACGACAACACCAACAACACCGTGTCAATGTCCAATACAAGGGGCTAGGGAGCCATCTTCTGTACTGTGAACAGAGAAATGAGAGGGCCTACGGTCAGTATCTCGCTCCTAAGTCTCCAATGCTCTATCAGCCTAGGATGGAATTGCCATCTCCTGAGGTTAACAGTCACCTACATCTGCCCAATACCCAGGAGGGTTGGGAGGCTGCTAACAATTACTTCTACAACAGTCTTGTGCCTGCTGTGCTTAATGCCTCCTCCATCTCTGAGAAGTATTCCATCCTCACAGATGGAGTGTACTCTTACTTCGAATCCTCATGTGGTACTGAGCCGGTCAGGAAACGCCCCAAGAAGCAGCGACCTCTTCACGACACTTCGCTCAAGGAGTTGACTAGGAAGAAGAAATTGGCCAAGCAGGAGCTGCATCGCGCTCGTCAGCAAGGGTTTCCAACTGAAGTCATCCAATCTCTGTCACGGCAGTTTTTCACCTTGGTCCGCAGTCACAGTAAGCTGAAGAAGTCTGCCAATGGTCGATCTGCTGCAAGGAAT